GGCTGTGATTAAGTAAATTGGCAGGGAATATACATATACATATATTGCAGAAAATGCTCACCTGAATAAAGTAATATATTTCCCAGAATTCCTTGACTTATGATGGTTTTACTAATCTTTATATAATTATCAAGAGTTAATTATAGGTTGTGAGAGAAGTTCTACAGGAAAATAGGTTTAGGAATATTCAAGGAAATTTCATTTACTTTGTTACCTGCCAAATTAAATTTTGTTTATTTCAACCAATTCAATCAAAAAGATTATTAACTTTAGCTTGGGGAAACTTAGTTTCCTTCTAATTGCAAACTACTTAATCATTTATCCAATCACAGTCAATGGACATAACAATTGTTAAGATACTGCGATGGAGGATGAAGATCCCAGTGACTTCCGTCTCCATTCAATTAAAGTAGTTTCTGCTGATGCTGCGACTTTGTCCATTGCCCTAATGCAATTCAGCCACATTGTAGCTGAGTCCCTTTAACTAGAGCACTGAACGGAAATATTGTTAAAAATTTAATTAAGGAAATAGAACAACGATTGATAAATATTATAGAATAGAAAAGAGAATACAAAGTCTAAACTCATAACTTGTACCTGCATTAAGAAGTTTGTTTAATCGCCAATCTTGATTACTTTGGAGCTGAGAAATCCAAATAGTTAATATTTTTCTCACAGTGCACTGGTATCTCTGGCCATGTCCATCGACCTCGACTGGGGAGCATTTGACAAGCGTGTCGTGTTGCCAGCGCCTTATGCCTGTCGCTCTGTGTGCTGCATTAGCCTGGCTTTATCCAAGCCACTCACTCCGAGACACATATGCTGATGGCGAGTGTGAGATGTACGAAGATGTAGACGAGGAAGAAGAAGTCCAGCCTGGAAAAGCTGGAAAAGTCGGGCAGCCATTGCCAGCCTTGTCACTTATGCAAAATCCCCTAATGGAGGCTTGCCGAGGTGTAAGAAAAACAACAAAAAACGAAGCATGGCAATGCAGGCAGGATGCTGTTGCTGCTTTTCACTTCCTTTTTTTGTTCGTTTTCTTGCCATTACATACAAATGCTCTTTAAGCGGATTTCGTAGCGTTTTACTTGTTTGCCATTGTTAAACTGAGTGCTCAGCATAAGGCTGTGACTCCCTGACGACCGCCGGACCAGCAGGGATACTCGTTAAAGCTGAGCTCCGCCTGCGCTTCTCTACTCTCCTCTGGTTGCGGGCTCTTTGGGGATGTGTGCTCAAAGATGACCAACGGAAGAGATTAGGATTGGGGAGGGTTTCAGGGGATATAGATACCATATAAAAAATTAATGTACAAAGCATAAAAAACTGCAATTTCTAGAGTTCTTTGAAGAACATTAAGTCCTTTCAAATGTTTACAAATTAAATACAACCCACCTTTTATAGGATATCTTTCAAGTCTATCAGAAGGACTCTCAAAATGACAAATTGGATTAAAAAAATATCAAAATTCGACCAAAAGTGCTTAGGCATATTTTTCTTTTCCATTTTCTTTTCGGGTCCTTGTGGGCCGGAAAAAAAGACAGAGGGGAACACAGTTGGCAAACCCTTTTAATTATGCCAGAACATGCGCAAATATTTTCCTTATGGCCGCTTCGCATTAATTAATTCTCAGCTTAGGAAGGACTCAAGTGTGTGTGGATATTTGGCCTGCTAACTTGGCAACCGGAAAGTCAACGCTAAAGTTTTTAATTAAATTATACAAAGTATATTTGCCTTATTTCATAAGGACGGGAAATTCAAAAAAGTAAAGTCTAGAACTGTTTAAGATATATTTCCGTTTCAAAAATCTATATTTCTATAACCATAATTTTATTGTTTGCTGTTTATACTTAAACTTATGTGGCTTGGCGTCTGCTACGCGTTAAGGATTCTTATGCCCAACAAGCCTATGAATTATTCCCCATGTTGATCCCTGTGCTCCTTCATCAATAAGTGGCGCAAATCAGGCGTCAACTTCCACCCATGGAAATCAATCAAGTATGAGGAGCAGACGTTTGCGATTTTACGAGCATCGGAACGGCATCAGAATCAACGCAGAAAAAATAACAACAAAAGAAATGTCATAAAACTTATTTACTTAGCACCAGCCAAATGGTCCTTGCAGAAGTCGAGTCCCGTCCTTAAACAAAAGGCGGACATAAAGCGAAAGCTGCATAAAATCAAGTATAGGAAAAGCAAAGGAACTGAAGGAAACCAGCGGAAAGCGAAGTCAAGTCAAAGAAAATGGGGCTGTCAATAATCATAAAATTCGTGGCGGAGTGGGTGAAAAGCAGGAGGAAATGTACTAAATAGGAGAAAGGAAAACCGATGAGAAATGAGATTCAAGGCGATGCTGTGGGAATTTGTTAAATTGCCTGTGAATGACAAATATTGTGTTATAATTTCTATTAAGAAAATTAAGCAGCGGGACCACATTGCGTATGCGCATTATTTAATTTGTCTAAGTGTCGTCGCCATGAAATTCATGCTTTTCTTACGATTTAAACACAACACAATTCTGTGAAAAAAAAAGAGAAGATGAAAACAGGAGAGATCTTAAAGGCCTCCAACGGCGTCTAATGGACAGTGACATAAGACACAGACTGACAGCCGGGCTCAGACAGCTTTCAGCCCAATCCCTCTTACCAGCGCCTGCTGCCCTCAGCAGTGCCAACTTGGCCGAGATGGCCTAACGTGTTTGGACATGGCCAAGGAGCGTAGACAATGGCCGACACAAAGCGGCTTCAAGTGGGTGGCACAACATAAAAATGGTTTTCTTTAATTTCATGTAGCTCGACGACACTTTCCCCTCCGCAAAGCTTTATGAATTTTATATACAGTCCGAAAAGTGCGCTACACGAAACTCGAGATGTTGAGGCCGAAAATCAAAATGGCAAAGTTCGGTTGCGACACAAAACGAATGGCCAACCCTCAGGCTGAAGCTCTAAATGAAATTGATTCTACATCAGATTGCCACCTAAGTGATAATAAATGCTAAGAATAGTTTGTGTCACGAAAGATTTTATTTGTCATCATCAGTCAAGCCATTCCCTTGGGGCCAAAAACTCTAAAATGTGACAGAGTGACTTATTACTTGCTTGGCTTTAAAGTTTCTCAACACATTTTCATGTTTCAGTTTTACAGCCTCTAAAAGTGAGTGAGAAGGGAAAGTAGATAATCCAAGGATTTTCCAGCTTTAAAGTTAAATATTACCTTTTTAAACCTTCTAACCACTCACTGAGCTTCTCTATAAATTTAATAAAAAATTCTTTATAATACTTCTAAAGTACTTAACAATTTAAAAATTTCTTGTAAAATATATACTGTAACTAGAAATTTTAATTACACATTTTTCTATATTTTACTGGCTGCAAAAAATAGGAGAATAATATGAAATCAAGAGTCCGCAATGAATGGCCCTATGGTTCGTTGGCTGTTCGTCGTCCCGACTCATCAAAATGAGCAGCGGATACTTAATCTGATTTACTTGCCTCAGTCGAGTCGAGTCAGAGCCAGAACAGGATGGCAGCCAAAGCTCTGGCAAACCGAGCAAACAAGCGTCTTCATAAAAGGCGACATCTCGGCCAGGCCAAGAGGAATGGCCCTGGGAGGAAGAGGTAGGTCCTGGAGCAGGAGTGGGAGCTGGAGCAGGAGCAGGAGCAGGAGCAGGAGCGGAGTGGAGACTGGTGGCGGGGACCCAGGACTTTGGCTGCCACAGGCTTCTCATAGCTGGCGTTCTGCGGCGTTGTGTACATCATAAAAGTGCGATAAGATAACCATACCCAGCGACGACCGACCGTGGCACTTGACTGCTCCAAAGCCCTCAGTGCCCGATGCTCTCCCTGCCTTCATTAGACAGCGTTTAGATACTCTATATTTGCAGACTCGAATTGAGGCTGTTTAAATAAATAAGAGATGGCTTAATTTTATATTAAACAAATATAAAGGTAAAACCCGTTTAAGATTAATTAAGTATCAAAGTTTAATATAATTATTTTTTGTTACCATTAAAAATGGTTTCTTATGGCCTATGGTATTATCTTTCTTTCTCATTATTAATTCTTGTAAACTTCCTTTAATAAATAAAGAGTATTTCAAGCTTAGTGACTATTTCAAGTAGCTCTATGTATTTGATTTTCATTGCCCAACGGCCTTGGCCCACCAAGGACCAAGCAAACAACAACTGCCTCCTCCTCCTCCCTCCTTCTCGCATCTCCTTCCATGAGTCCTGCTCCGTTTCCAGTTCGTCCTGCTCCTCATCTCTGGCTTCCTCTTCCAGTTTGGTTTGGTTTCTGAGCTGCCTGCCAGCATCTTTAGTGTGATTTATTTTGGCAGAGCACAATGTACTTTCGTTTCAAATAAATCATAAATTTCAACGCATTGCCATGCAGTACACAATTGTTGTTGTTGTTGAGGAGGAGATGCCCCAGATACAGCTCCAACCCATACTCCCCGATTTTCCTCTGTTTTTTTTCTTTTGGGGTCTATGGCCGCCTTGTGACAGCAATTGAGTTATCCAACAAAACAAAAAAAGGCTATCTAAACAGAGAGGAAGATGTATATGCGTATAGATATTTCACATTATATTTATTGTATTTTTATGGCACTTGGGCATTTGGCCTAAGCCGCCCAGCGTTTTGTTTGTCCTGTTGAAAAATGTAAAACGGATCTCGGCCCTCTGCAGGGCCGCAGGGAGAATTATGAGCTAAACGCGACACGCATTGCTAAAGGACATGGAAGTGGGTAAAGTGGGTAAAAGTGGGTGAAAGTGGCTAAGACTGGGTGGTGTTTCTAACCCACTGAACTGACCAGCTTGGTCCAAACGCATGATTTGTGAGCGCTTTTGTTAAGCCAGCAAATCAAGTGAGATTTACTTGGTAAGGTTTAAAGTCTTTAACATACTTACTACTTTAAATCTCTTCAATTATTTTTAAATTCTTGTAATCTATTACTTTATAAATTTAACTACATTTTCTTTTATTAAATTTATCACAATTCTTTGCTACTAACACTCTGGGCAGGTCACTCAAATGCGAGTGATTTCCTTCTCCTTGTTGACTTCATCGATTTGAACCTGAATGGGTGTGCGGTAGGCACTCTGAACCATCATGGAAACCAAGACCATTTCCACCAGAATCAGAATGTTGATGATAGCTGAAATTACCAAATAAACAACCATTAAAACATAATAACATTTTATATATAAGATATACCACTCACTTTGCTTGTAAACAGTATGATTGATGGGATACTCCCCACCCATCTTGATGCCATCCAGCTGATCGTAGAGGACAAGATACTGCAGTTTGCACAGCATCACCACCAGCTGGAGGCAGAACATCTTCTTCCTCAGCTGGTAATCCCCTCGTAGTTTGGTGATCATTCTCACAGTGATCTGCAGTGACCACGCACCCAAAACAATTGAACAAACAATGAATGGGATAAAGAAGTACATGACCTGCCGATATAGCTGAATATCACGATAATACAGGATATTCATTACCAGCATTATGGAACCCTGCCAGAAGGGCATCTGCCAGACCATGTACCGCGAGATGCACAGCTTCGCCTTGGTGGGAATCACCATCGGCAGGCACACACAGCAGCAGCAGCACGGAGGCGTATTCAGCTGCACAGCCTCCATGCTCGTCTCCTTCACGTAATTCTGCTCAGAGATCACGTAGCGGAAGAGCAGAGTGCGGAATACAGGTCCACCCACCATGAACATCACGTGCATGACCGTGTGGCAGATGAACCAGGAGTAGGGCACCAGAATGGTCACCAGGGCGGCCAAGGAGATAATGGGATACAGCGACACCATTATAATTGAGGGGCCAAGCAGGGGCTTGTTCAGGTGACGCCTCAGCCGCGAAACTGTCGTCGAGAAGATGGCGATGTTCAGGATGGTCAGCAGACTGGCCACGAAAATGGCCAGGCTAAGGAAGGCAGTCATGTCTGCGGGAGAGAGATTCGGAAAAATATCATTAGTGGAAAGCAAGTTACAGAACTTTTAAGCCAGGATATAAATTGTATAAAAGATATAATGTTAATCTTAAATACATCACAAAAATTCTTCAAGTCTCTAGAGTAAGGCGTGCTAGTTAATATGAAGGTGTTAATCATTTCAGGTAACACCATTTGTTGTCATAAGAAAGCTTACTTTTCGTTGTGAAATATTCAAAGGTGATAACCCATAAGAAACTCTAGAGTTTACTTGTTACAAATATGTTTGCAGATTATAAATTATAGTTCTTAACCTTTTCAGTAAACTCACTTTCATAATACTCGGCCACAGTGGGGTGTGTCCGTAGGTTCATTGTGTTGTTCTTCTTTAGATCCAGGACCTGTGATATCTCCTCCGTCGTATCCATGGATAAATAGTCCTCGTTGGCATTCATGATGCGTCCTTTATACTTATGGTGATAAATTCAAACTGGTGGCAAGTTGGTGCAATACTTCCTGGTTTCCTCCGCTATCTCGCTATTTTTCACTTCACATCTTTATCATTGTTCACACTGTGCCAGTTAACAGACTTTGCAGTTTATTAGCACTCATAAATGTATCTTAAAGATTGCCAAAGCAGTACACGTATCTTTTGTGGGGGTGCTGTCAAGGGAAATAGGAGATACTTTGTTTACAGAGCCAGGTGAAAGTGCGAGAAGTGTGGTATATTTTTTATTTATATATTTTAGTTAAAACTTATTTTAATTTTTGCAATGCACTTGGCGGCTTGTTGAAGAAATGAGTGGTTAATATAACTTAATTCATGCTAACCAAAAGTCTAGACGAAGTGTTAAATACCCTAAAGCACGATCACAGGAATCCGTTAGCTAATTACTGGGAAAGGAGCTTGTGATGAGACATCTTTAAAGGCAGATTTACCCAAGAGACTATCAACCTTGAAGTTTCAAAACTGACTGAGAAGAGCTAGGCGTTTCACTTGATTTTATATCAAAGCACTCACGTGACAGAAACCTCAATCAAAGCAATAAAAAATACTCAATGATCTGCACATAATTCGTAGAAATATTCAAATGAACAACTATGGGACACTGACACAGACAGTCACCGATCTTCTACAGGGCATTAATAATTCATAAAAAACAAGAAAGTATACTAATTCAGGGGAACTGAAGTTTATATACCCTTGCCGATTGGAATTGGATTATAGATCAAACTGGGAATCCATCATAACTAAATATTCGCGTTCCTTAAATTGATAATTAACAATATTTTATATGACAAGAGAATAAAACAACACACAACAAAAGATGAGAAATTTTATAATAGACAGGCAACAGAAAACTGTAGTTAAATGTGTCCTTACTTCATTATATATTTTATTATTTAACTTCATTTTTACCTTACAAAAGTACTTAAAAATAAGGTTAGTCTAAAGTCTATATATTAGCTTTACTTTATAATTTTTAATTTTTCCATTTATTTAGTTTTGCTTCACTGTTTCGCTTCGTTTCTGTCCACTTATTTTAACTATTATTTGCAATTATCATTATAAAATTACCCAACAAATTACGCTTTATTTAGACCAATGAGAGAGCATAGAAAAATCGTTTGGCCGAAACCAAAACCAACAGAAATCAAATTAAAGGTTCGCAACGATTTCGAGGAGACGAGCACGTGACTGAGGCCTTTGGCGACTGAAGAGAGCTTGGCCACTTTTTCAGTATTTTTAACTACAAGCGAATCCCAAATAAAAAACAGGTTTTCGAAAGCATAGGCAGGTAAGAGTCCGACGTCCGACTGCCGACCGGCATACTAAAGCAATATTTTACGGGTAGCTTGCCTCATTGCATTGCATTATGTAAGCTCTTTTGTTATTGTTTATTCCCAAACCAGTTTCGTATATGTATATTTTTGCACAGTAATGTCGTATGTTGCAAGTGCCTGTAAAAGGTATGTACTATAAACATGATTCCACATCTCTTAGCGCCAACGGGGGCGACCTTCAGATCTGCTCCGAAAACGTGTCAAAGTCCCCTCAAAGTCTCTGACCTCAATTAAGTCTCCGAGTACTTCCGAAGTAAAACCCGTACTCGAACATGTCTTATCACCAGAAAAGCCAGAGATCACAATTCACCATTCGCCGATCCAATTTCATCAGATGGGTAGCAGATTCATAAATTTATTTACAAAACCGCCAGAAACCATTTCTTTCCAGTAATTAGCAGCAAATTCGCGGATTCGTTTTTTGTATTTAGCACATTCTAAGGTGCGTAAAACAAACCGCGAAAATAAGCGTCATAAATATTATAAACGACAAGCATGAAGCATATTCAAACTGTTGAGCTTGATTTTTTAACGGCTCGCAAATGGGTTTAGCACGTTATAAATAAATTAAAACAAAAAAGCAAATGCAAATAGCTTCAAATTATAAGAACAGTTGAAACGTGCTCTGAAGGAATCTGGAGCGGAATCTTAAGTATCAGAAATATTACTAAAGTTATAATGAGATAGGTTTAAATATATTTTTTAAGGCGGGGTATTTCCCTCTTTAATAATTTCATTATTTTTTGCTGATTCACAGTAACTCTGCTAAAAATAATAATTCATTTAAACTCCTTTCCCACTGAAATTGCCACAAAGACTTGCCGAAATGAAATGTAAACATTGGCAAAAGTGAATCAAGTTGTGCATTTTGCTGTTGGCACATTTTTTATTTTGATGTGGAAACAATGTTAAATGTTGTTGGTACTTTTTCTTCGCATTTTCATTCATTCATATTTTTGGTTGAGGTTTGGATTTTTTCTTTCTGCAGACTTTGTCAAAGCAGCTGCCCAGTCATCGTTCGAACGGCCCTGACTCTTCGATAAATTCGTCTGCCAAGTTATTTCCGAGCTTTTTGCGGCTAACAAAATTTAAATATTTCGGCAAAAGACACGACCTTACGCAATGCGAACATATTGAGTAAAAGCGGAAAATGCTTGCAAAACCAAAAATAAAACAAAATAACAGCGATAAGCAAATGTAAATGTGAGTGCAATGCCTGGGCAAAAATCAAAATCAGAGCTCGGACCGCAAAATGTAATTTGCTTCTCTGGTCGAACATAGAAAATCATTTTCCATCTGTGAAATTCCCAGGGAGAGGAATTTGCCCCAAAGTGAGCTGTGAGCAGATTCAAAGAAATTTTCTTCGCCCAAGATACCAAGCAATTCATTAGACAATGTGTCAACACAAGCAACCAGGAAAGACAAGACAAGACATTTTGGAATGCCAGCTAACTAGATAAAAGTTTAATTAAATTCCCTGTACGATATCAAGGTTGAACTCTCAATTATCACATATTTTACAAATGAATTGAATCAAAACAATGTAAGCCTTTGAAAGACAGTTTAAAGTCCATTAAGGTTGAGTTATTATCCGATGAACTGTTAAAAACATGTCAGATAAGCTCAACCCAAGGAAAGTTCAATATTTATTTATCAGTTCGGCGGCATCTCAATGTGTGTTTAATTACGGAAGAGTACACTAATTAAAATCGTTTTAAAAAAAATTTTGATAAAATCTATTTGAAACATTGCAACCAGAAACACTTATTTCCTTGGCCTTGGCCTTGCACTTGACTGAATAGTTTGTAAGCATTTCAATTAATATCATATGCATTTCATTCATTTGATTCCTTTTGATTGCCTTCACATCAACGAATGAATACAAGTAATTATTCATTAGATGTTCACACTGTCACTCATACATATTGAATGGTTATTGTATAATGCAAAGGGATCGATCACAAGTTAAGCAATTTAAGCGGTAGAAATCAATGGGTAATTTTTAGGCATTGCACTTGAATAGTTGTATTTATTTTGTCACTTTTCTCTTGGCTTTTCATTAGCTTGCTTACACTTTTCACTCTCCCTCTCTTTCTCTTTATTTTTCTCTGAGTTTTTCGTATTTTTCTCAATATTTTGTGCACTTTTTAACCGCGAGTGTCTTATACGTTCGCGCTCCGTTCAACAACTGAAACTGAAACTCAAAATATTGTAGTGCCCATGCCGATCACGAACATGAATGCGCCCATCTCGGGCTATATGGCTATAGGTCTGTCTATATATTCAAGTGTGCACAGGTGATTGTGCGAGTATCTGTGTGTTTGTTGGCCCAAACAGAAAATAGCAGTAGCATAGCCACAACCAGCTGACGATGCGATGTGCTAATCGTCATTTGTCGATTTCAAGCGCCGATGCCGGGAAAAGTTTTTCATTTTGCTTGGTCTTTGCGGAAGTCGGTTAACTCGTATTTGCCGATCAAAAGTGTTTACTATGGTCAATTGAAATGGCAAACAGAGAGAGATGTGGGTCTTGTTGTGCTAACACGGTGGTAAAAGAGCTCTGAAATGCTAAAAAAACAATTATTAATGTCAATGATATAAGATAATGTATAATGATATTAAAGAGCATTTAAATTTCCTTTTCTTGAACTGCAGGATATTATTAAAGACGTTTCTTATTCTTAAAACTTAAATATTTACATTTAAAAATCTTAGACACAATTTCAATATTCCAAAACAATTTCAAACTTAATTCAAGCATTTATAACCTTATATATACTTAATTTCACACACTTTAATTCCATTTTCACCCACAGTGCAATTGAGAAAATTACAATCCTGTCTTCCGGCTTGACCAACCCAATTTTCATCGGCATTTAGCCCTAGCACTTAGGCTAAAAGCCAATTTGTTTAAAGATGTTCCATCAGTTTATTGGAAAGTCCAGAACTTATGGGTCCCATAGCAAAAAAAACCAATTACCATGTCTAAGCAGGGTATAATTTATATCCAGCTATTCCAATACAATCCCCAGAGACTCTAAGTTAGGGAGTGTAGCGTGTTCAAGTGCTCATCAATCAACTTTTAATTTCCACGCCCTCCAGCGCATAACTTAAGGTGCGATTAAGCTAATCAAACACCAAAATTTCCACATGTAATTTGATATTCAAATTACAACTCATTAAAAATACCATTTTGTTCAAGTGGACTTTATCGCAGACCGAGTACATACAAAAAAAGCGTAAATCTAAGGCACATCCGCTCACTAATTTAATGAGCCGCTCAATGAACCTTTTTTTGGGGTTTTCGCTATCTTTTTCGTAAGCAATTTAAAATTAAATGCTAATTATTCAACCCAAAAATTATGCAATAAATTATGGCTCGAGTGCGAACTGCCAAGTTGGTACGTTTTTATTGCATAAGCTGCGGCGGTGCGGTCATAAAAAGAAATTATGATGGCCGGCTGCTCCCTTCCGCCGCCCTGCAATTCAACTTATAATTTGCAAATAAATCTAATTGTGTAAAGAGGGTCAGAAGTGATAAGGCCAATTAGAGAGGGGAATATTAAGGGGTGAGGGAGGGTAATAAATAATTGAAAAAAAAACAGAAGAACAGGCAGTGAAAAACCGAATGAAGGCAAAGTTTGCCAACTGGTTTAATGTAACAAGTTGAAAGTTATGGCAGTAAACAAAGAGTAATAATTGTTGCATTCAGTTCAGGATATATCTTGGAAAGACAAAAATAAGAAAGACTTTAATTGAATCATAAATTTAGAAGCAGATTTTAAATTCAACAAATATAGAACAATTTACATTATATTCCCAATTATGGTATATGTATAGTCATACCATATTTATTTATATCCAAGTCTGATTTAATATCTAAATATCCCAAATCTTTATGAGTTCCTTAAAGAAACCTCAAGAAAACCCCTCATTTAACTCCTTATTTGCTTATGACAGTGATGATTGCTTGTCTGTTATTTCTTACCTGCAAGCTCGGCTCAAACCTCCATGTCTCCTTCAAGCTGGTCTCCTTTGAATCCAGCCTTCTTTGAAATGAAGGCCAGCGGCTAAGCCGCATCCTCTCGCTTTTTTTTTCAAGAAAAAAGAAAAGATAAAAATTTTGTCGGATGCCCGAGGGTGATGCCGCCTTTGAAGGCAACGTCGCGAATTCAGCGCCTTGCCGGTGTGGTTTTCCCCTGTCTGTTTTCATTTTATCGCCGCTGTTTATTCGCCGCCTTTGGTGTTTTTATGTTTTCTTATTTTGCTCATTTTTTCGCGCTTTCGCTTCTCTCCAAATAAGGCAACAATGCAGCCGCCGTTTGAATACGAGCAGAAAAGGACGTGGCCCAGGGCTGACTTAGCGTTCATTTCTTGGGTCCTTTATGCCGTCCTGATTCATTCAACTGTCGCTGTTGTTTCAATTCCAGTCGGCGCCTTCATCCCGCCGCTTTTCGTCAGTGTTGTTTGCTGTTTAACGAAGCAAATCAACAAATTGTAATGATGCCAAAGTCCTTTTCTGCGCTGCTTGCACTTTTCCACCGACATCCCTTAAAGCACAAATTTGTATACCCTTGCAGGGTATGATAATTTCAGTTTGAAGTTTGCAATGCAGTACACAGAGTATATATATTCTTGATCGTAACATAAGATATTTTTCTTATCTTATTTAATTAATATTAATATTATAGAATTTCAATTATTTAATTTTTATGACAATTCTGATTGTCACTATATAATATAACTGCTAGAGAAACGGCTGTCAAATGTAAGTAAGTATCTATTATCTGTAATTAACTATGAGCAGTAAATAAATCTTAACAGTAAGTATATATGACCAGAAAGTAACTATGATCAGTAAGTATCTAAGACCACTAAGTATCTATGACCAGTAAGTTACTAACTTTGAACACTAATAAACAATGACTTGCAACTTTTGTAACGCAACACATATCTGAGACTTGGCTGGCAGCAGTCACTTCGTTCCGGGGATGTTAGAACTAGTTGAGAATCATATGCACAGTGTGCGAAATAACTATGAGCAGTAAGTAACTCTGATCAGTCACAATCAATGAACATTAATTAACTATAATCAGTAAATAACTATGATCAAGAATTAACTATGAGCTATATGTAACTCTGAACAGTATGTATCTATGACCAGAAGTAACTATGATCAGTAAGAATCAATGAACATTAAGTAAGTATGATCACTAAGTAAGTATGATCACTAAGTAAGTATGATCACTAAGTATCTATGACCAGTAAGTAGGCATGATCGGTTTCTAACTTTGAACACTAATAAACAATGACTTGCAACTTTGATAACACAACACATATCTGAGACCTGGCCGGCAGCAGTAACTTCGTTCCGGGGATGTGAGAACTAGTTGAGAATTATATGCACATGTGCGAGATGTGTTTTGGAACAAATTTAAGAGCTAGCTATTTGAACGAAACTAAGGAGTTATTCGTCTATATAATTTTGCTAGTAATAGGTCGGAGCATGGCGAATCGGTGGACTATATATAAACATATATATAGCTGACATAGGAACAATCGGACGATTTATAAAACTATGATCAGTAATTAACTATGAGCAGTAAGTAAGTCTGAACAGTAAGTAACTCTGAGCAGTAAGTATTTATGACCACTAATCAGTAAGTATCAATGACCAGTAAGTATCTAATACCAGTAAGTATGTATGTTCAGTTACTAATTTTGAACACTAATAAACAATGACTTGCAACTTTCGTAACAACACATTTCTGAGACCTGGCCGTCAGCAGTCACTTCGTTCTGGGGATGTGAGAACTAGTTGCGAATTATATGCACATGTGCTAGATGTGTTTTGAGACAAATTTAAGAGCAAGCTATTTGAACGAAACTATTGAGTTATTCGTCTATATAATTTTGCTAGTATTTAAGTTGGAGCAGTGCAAATCGGTGGACTTTATTTACACATATATATAGCTGCCATAGGAACAATCGGAAAATATTAAGAATAAAAATAACTTTCACAGTTTTTAAAAATTTTCATCTAATTTGATATACAGCCATTATATTTTAAGAATTTTATGAAACTCGGAATGAATGAAACGAAAGCAGGCATTACTTTATTGTTTTGAACCATAAATATATATAATTTATATTGCATTAATTCCCAGTGATCGAAGGGTATACAAACTTCAACGTGCCGAAGTTAGATTCCTTTCTTTTTTGCTTTGTTTTATATATTTTTTTGTTGTCTCAAAATGGAGGACCCAAAACCCATTCAGATCAAGAAGGATGATAGAGTTGGAAGATTCGAATGTGAGATACCCGGTAATCAGAGCCAAATAATTTGCATGAACTTTGCCATAACATCTTACTTCAAAATATTTATAAAAGTCTACACCCCTAGGAGAAGTTAGTCTCTCCCATTAAACAAGCAATAAAAAGCTGAATATTTGAAGACTTCTTTTTAGAACTAACATAAATATGATTACCTTTCTAGAAACACATCAAGCTCTTTCATTCTTAAGCATACCGACCATAGAAACCCATGGCCCAAAACCCGCATTGGCAGCCCTTTTTTGCATGGCGCGCTCCACTTGAGGCGCAGTGTGGCGTAAAATGAATTGAGACATTCAGTGCTCGCATAGGAGAGAGACAGGATTCGGATTCATGGCCCCATAACCCCACCAAAACCGCAGAGGTCGGGCCCGTCTGTCCGTCGGTGGGTTGGTCCTTTAGCAACAACTTTTCGGGCTCTGCACCGCACTGAATGCAAAAGTGGCAAAAGTTTTTGCACCACTCGGCGTGGCCCCTCTCTCTGCTGTGCATTCAGGTGTTAAGTTTTTGGCCGGCGCACCAAAGTATGCTACAAATAATTAAATCATGCAAAGGTTATTGTGCAAGTGTTGGTGCTGGTGGTGGGTAGGAAGAATTGGCCGGAAACAAGACTCGCCCCTTCCTACTCTCGGCTAGACAAGTTCAATGCCGCCTTGAGGTCCTTGTCAGCCTGTCAGCTAGTTTGATATTAACAAATCGATACTTGTACTCCCTGCTCCTCTTGCTTTTACCTTAGGTTTCTTTTTGTTTTTTTTCCCCGTGAATTGGAATTTGCATATGACACAGGCATAGTGGACAAACAAGATGAAGGGAAGTAAGAAATAGCGTAGCGAGGCTGAAACGAAGCGATATTGCCAGTGGCAAACACGCTGGCCTCTTCCATCATGTCGGTTTACTTTTTGCAATGGCCATTGCGACTGCCGGGCATTTCCGTTTCCGCTTCGAAGGCACACTGAAATGCCACTTAAATAATTTGTAACATACGAACTGAACTTTTCATTGTTATGTTAACTATTTCAAATGAACTAAAATTAAGCTATTGGTTTTGAGGAACAAGTAAGATATATTTATACATTTGAAGGGTATTTTAACATATTTTCAGTGAAATATTCATTTCCAACCCTATCAACCTTATATATTCTTGATCAGCACATAAAACTGAGTCGATATAGATTAGTCCGGACGAAAAAAAATTGTTTTCAAAATTTGTCCAAAAATTGAAAAAACGATAAGGGGTTACATTTTCGGCTAAGTTATGCTATTTGTTATCTTAGAGTTGTCAAGAAAATGGCATATTAAATCATTAAATGACGAACAAGTCACTTATCAGAATCAAATGTCCACTATCAGAATTTTAATAATTTAAACCTAAAATATTGTATATAATTTAATTTCTCAGTTCAATCTCTCTGTGTAATAAGATTTTGTAAAGAACATTCCTTTTCTAGATAACTCTAAGCCCCTTCCGGTAGAGTATAAAAATCGTATCGCGGCTCAAACGCTCGGCCATCGCAACTACCAATAAAGAACAGCCAAAAAACCAAAACTCACGTCGAGATAAATTGAAGTTGATTTGCTCAACTGCTGCTGGCTACTGCAGTTTTTCCAATCTTTCCCTCGCTTTTCCTGCTGCCATACAACGTGGAGCTCGTCTCAGCTGCATAATTTATGAGCGGGAAATGATTTGCATGCAGTTTTTCTTGCACCTTTGCTGCTTGTGTTTGCCTTCCTGAACTCTGCTTTCCTTTCTATTCGCATCCTGCAGGATGAGACATAAACCTCAAACTGGCAAGAATGTGAAATGTTTGTGTTTGCCTTTGGCTTCGATATATTGCACTTAAAACAATTGACAGCAAACTGAGAGACGAAGGTAAAGGGAAAGGACTCTGTCGATTTTTGGTCGAAACTCATGTGAAACTGCTCGAAATGTGCCTCTCTTTTTTCACATTTTCCTACTCTCAGTGAGGAAAAGCTTTGGCGGGAAAAGCTCCGCTCGGATTTCCCTTATAAACGCAACGCAACTGATAAAACCTCGACAGTTACCGTTTCGGACGCGTAACGATAGCAGCCCCAAGGCGAAAGCTGCTAACGTGGCTAATATTCAAACACAATACTAACAACAATCGCTGGAAATAATACTTCAGCAGAGACACGAAAATTGCCGGTAAAGTGTGCGAATAAACAAATAGCGAATATAATTATTTGTGTACCAGAAAAACCCAAAGAGAAGAAATAAAAAAGTGCAAGCAAACGGAAAGGTGTTTTTCCAGTGAAAAGTGTGAAACGCAAACAAACTTTGTAATTGATGAATTAATAAATTAGAAGCCAAGGCATAAGGTAAGAGCAAAGTGCACTTAAGAACTGTAATTAATACAGACAGTTAAGGATTAAGGGAATAAGGCAACAACAAAAAATTAGCTTACAAAAAGGCTAATTACAAAAGGTTTAATTTAATGAAGGCAGCAACAAAGCATAAAAAAGTTTTAATGCTGAACATTGAGATATAATCAAACAGATGGTGCCTTTAAAGGTAAACAAAAAAAAGAGTAAGCTAAAGAAATGTTTTAAAATAATGAGTGCTGCTAAAGGTCCGTAAATAAAAGTTAAAATTTATTTAATTGACAATATGTTTATATTTATGAATAAAACTATAATATTATCCATAACCACGTAGCCAACGTTATATAATTTATGTTTAATTAGTTTTTATATATGTTCTTCAAGTGATTCAAGTAATAATATTTAAAACAAATCCGTTCAATATAATGTACTACTTTTAAACAGTACTTCAACATTATCAACTCCAGCCTCTTTCCAATTTCCAGGACACTGCACTCTTGTCATTTTGATTTTATTTATTTATTATATCAAATACCTGTATCATTTAAATGCTGATATTATTGCCTCCAAGGAATCCAACCCTTGATTCACCTTCAAAGATCTTCGAAGCACACCAGACGACACACACCTGCTGAAATCACTCAAAAATGTTTTATTTCGTCTGTGTCGCTTGACAAAAAAAAGGAAAAAAATAAAGAAAATGTACATATATATATATGAGAAGCTCACAAAACTCCCGAGGGCTGTGGCCATTTAGCGGCATTTTGTACTCAGACAACCTTTAAAGCCCTGTTACAGACTGTTTTTTCGCCCACCCAAAAAATTAGTCGTTCGAATTTTCCACCTACACAGAGTTTGTGGAACGTCTGGGCTTAGGTTAAGCATACACAGGAGCAACGTTGGGTTGAAAAAATATATTGTATATATATGTATAATAAGAAAGCGAGATACCTACGAGAATTCGAAGTTTGTATACCCTTGCAGTTACTTCCTGGCTATCCAGATATATTTCATTGGCCATGTCATATTTTGAGGCCGATGAGTAGTCACTATCACCGCCACTATTACCATAGATGTTATCATGGCATCGATGATCTCTTCCTGGTTATCATCCGGATAGCCACGTCATGTTTTTGAGGCCGAAGATTAGTCACTATCACTATCACCATCGATGTTATCATGGCATCGAAGAAATCTTCCTGGTCATCATCCGGATATATTCCATTGGCCACGTCACATTTTTGAGGCAGAACATTAGTCACTATCAGTATCACCATAGATGTTATCATGGCATCGATGATCTCTTCTTGGTTATCATCCGGATGGCCACGTCATATTTTTGAGGCCGAAGAGTAGTCACAATCGCTATCACCATCGATGTTATCATGGGATCGAAGAAATCTTCCTGGTCATCATCCGGATGTATTCCATTGGCCACGTCACATTTTTGAGGCCGAAGATTAGTCACTATCACTTTCACCATCGATGTTAACACCAGGTACCCCACGGACAGACTGATGCGCGCGGGCCGATAGCGCCTCTATTTATAGTCCCCGATCCAAGAGAACAGAGAAAGTGAGAGCGAGAATGGGAGGGAGGGATAGAGAGCAAGAGATGTCTCTATAGAGAAAGGCATGGAGTATTAGGCATACCAAAAAAGAGAAAGCGAGAGAGAGGGAGGGAGAGTCTGAGTTAAGAGAGGGGAGAGAGAGAAAGCTATTATACTTCTATTAATGCTGATCAAGAATATAAATGTTTAATAGGATCGGAAATGACTCCTTCGCTGCGTTACAAACTTATGACTAAAATTATAACACCCTGCAAGGGTATAATAAAAGGAGGAAGGGAAAAATAAACCAGAATTTCAGAAGAAGAAAAATAAAAGCGATGCTCAAGTGGCTCAGCGCTTAACACAAATTAGACGCACTTAATTACAGCGCAAACAGTCACAAGGAGAGCTCGTAAAATATGCACAAAAAATATAATAAGAGCCCACAACCGAGTCAACCTCAGGCACAAAAAAATATATATATTTCTATATATTTAAGCAGTTGGCTCTCCAAAAGACATGGCCGGCCGAGTGGTTGGAGGCGACTTTCAATTTTGGGCATTCAAAAGTTGCGGCTTAAAACTCAATTAAACGAATTGGCAAAATTTAATTACAATTTCAGTTTCATTTTCATTTTAAAGGAGAGAGAAGAGAGAAGGGTCAAAAATGGAATAAGAGTACAACGAGTAAAGAGTGTGAGAGCAGAATTGTTTTGCCAGCTGTTGGGCAAACTTTATAGAAACTAATATTAATTTAAAGCAAAATAATGAGCTGCTTTTATGAAATGAAAATATAAAACTTAAAGTAAATCAAATGGAATATTTAGATAATAGAAAAATAGATGAATGTGGTAATTATAGTTTGAATTTAAAGCGGAAAATGAGTAGATAAGTCTACAAGTATTTGGTTCGTTGGAAATATGCGAACTGGAAGTTAGGCAAAGGTTATTCCACGGTTAATAATAAAGGCTAATACAATAAGAAATATAATTCCTGGAAAACTGTCCAGTTCACAAAATTATAGCCAAGACCCAGCTCGAGCTACCAACTAATTCTAATTTCATTGAAAAGCCTGCAACTTCTCAATCGTCCACGTACACTCCACGCCTCCAAAACTTTTTCATGCCCCCGGGGGCTGAACCCTTTCCTAATGCCAGCAACAACAGCAGCTATTTCCTGTTCCTGTTCTGGGCCCTCCCTCCCGTCCAGAACTTGGCCACGTTTTATCTGCCAAACAATAGGCTCATTAGTGGAGCAGCCCACCGAATGCCACGCCTCTTGAGCAAACTTTTCCTAATATCAACGTTTGGCTCCCAACGAATACAAAAATACATACATAAAATAATATTTTTGTTTGCAGCAACTTTTAGGGGCAATTAACTCGGGGGCGCGGAAAACTTTAATGGCCTGGAAAATCCCCAGAAAATCTACGCCATTTGCCATAACTGGAAATGAAAATATTTATTGAATTATTCAAAAGGGCGAAAATGTAATACGCCAGATATTACTACAATTTCCGCAATGAACCTCTTATTAAGGCAGAAATTAATTGAAAGCGAGTCTAAGGCTTGGAAACTATTTTCGCCGAGAAGGGTTAGCTCTCTCAGGGTCCTTGGACCGAAAACTTTTCCATCAACTCAAGAGTTTGGCCCCGTCAATCGCAATTTTCAAGTGGCGACAAAGTAGCGCTGAATGAATATGCAAAATGCTCCTTTGGAATAGACTCGACTGTCAACTCTGGGCAAGTCCTTGCCATTACCTACTCCTCCCTGCTGTTCCTGAAACAAGTAATTCCACTTTATTTAAGTTTTTTTTTTTCTTCCTTTTGCCATAAACCGCTTGCGACCAGAAACGGATGCCAATGCGTTTAAGTTTAAGTTCAGTTCAGTTCAGTTCAGTTCAAAAAAGTAAAATAAAATAAAAGAGCGAGTCAAGACTGCACAAAATGGAAATCAAGAAAAATGCTCGGCGCACTTCCAACTTTACTTTTCCCACTTTGGGCCACTAATAAAAATAGCGAGCAAAAGTTTCATCTGCTGCATTGCTTTGCACTGAAGTGCAAATCTTTTTCGGAGGTCTTACAGCATCCGAAAACAATGTAAAGGGATTTGAGAATCCTTGGCAGGCAATGGGAATCAAGTTCGAGCCAAGAAATACAAAAATGGAGCAGGCTAAGGAGTATTAATCGACGAGTTAGCTGAAGTGATATATATATTGGGTTGCTGATAAAGTAATTAAATCACTAAGGAAATCATTTAACATCTTAGTAGTTTATATGATTATTGGTATTGAAATGCCTTACTTCAATACCACTTTAAACAAACCCAATAAGTTTATTCACAGTGCTCTTTCCTACCCTTACTTTATCTTTAGCAAAAATAGCTCAAAAAAACTATAAAAAGCACTGCAGCTGCAATCTATGAACGAAAGTGTCGGGATCTCAACTTTTGACAGCACTTTGCACACTTAACTTTGCCCCAAACTCGGGCAGTGCTAAGAACGTTACGCATACGCCGCGTATGCCAAACTAGGGGCACAAGGAGCAATAAACATAAAAGCCCTGGCGATGAAATGCAAAACAATAAATAATGAAATAAAAAGCTAGCCAGGGCTGGGGAAGGATGGCCACCCCACCGAATAGAGTCCTCCAAAATTAAGGAAATTAAATATTTACGTATGAAAGCAGTCGAGGAAATTACGCATAGTAAATTATAAAGAGAGGAAAACAAAAAGAAAAGCCAACACGCTGCCCAAAGGGGAAGTGAGTCCATGGGTCTTGGCTTATTACAAACACCCCCTAAGGCAAGGCGAGGCATTACTTTGTCCTTGTGCTCCTCACAATCACACACACACACACACGCCATGGCCATTAATTTATTTTTATGCCAGGCATAATCTTTTCTGCTTGCGGTATTTTGTTTGTATTCATTTGCATCTTCTACCCAACTCTCATTCCTAAGAGCTGAGTGTGCCACACACAACACACAACACCACCCATCGATAGTGTGCCAAATATCTTGCGTGGCGACAAACCAGAGAAACACAAACAAAAGGCAAATAAGGGGCCAAAGAAGCACTGAAAGAAGGATGTATATAAAAATATATTAATAAAAAAGGGGATATTTATTCTAAAGGTTTATTAAATAATTCAATATCTTTTTAACAAAAACTCTGACCTAAAATGTATTTATAATATTCAAACCTCATATATAGATTGCAAAACATCAGCTTTGCAGTTAGTCTCGTATCAAAACTAATGACTACACTAATTATAGTCTTATCTTCATGTTTGTGGATCAAACTGATTTACGATAAGTAGTCAGACGAGAGATAATGTTTTTGATAGAACTGATAATATTTGTTAAATATTGACTCAATATAGTATTTCTCACTGTGCCCTAACGAGTCCATGAGGAGATGTGAGGATGGGAATCGACGTCTTTAATGAT